CAACAAATTTAATTAAATAACCAATCAATATTCTCGAATTGTTAATTAACTCATGACAATGTTCAACACAGATTATTGAATGAACATTTCTGATTCTTGATTGAACAATTGCATTTCAGATTTTAAAAAATCATTGAAATTGAAAAAAAGGAAAATGAGAAAAAATGTGAAAAATGTAAGAAATGGGAAAAATCATTGAATATGAAATGAAAAATGAGGGTGAAAGTACCGACTGTTATCTCGAGTTCCGCGATATTCGCGTAAAAAATTTAATTGAAGAATCGATTATCGACTGATGTTTTCGATAGATGCGGCATAGAGAAATCTCACATGTGGAAAAGTTAAATTTCCTGTCCCTTCCATCCCAGTAATGCAATACAAACTGCCCGCAGCTCCTATAAACTCAACAATTAAAAGCAACAACTGTTGAATAAAGCGCGTGGAAACTCCAGAGAGTTTTCCCACATTTTGCTAAAGTCCCCCAGGGGAGGAAAATTATTTTAGTCGCGACGGGATATTTTCGATGGACAGTCCTATTGAGGCAGAATCTCTCGTTTTATTTTAGGACCGGTATGTATTCCAGAGATAATTGTCTCAGGTTTGCGATCTGTTTGAGGATTTGTGAGTGACTTTTCCGGGCTTTTCATTAATCATTGGCGCAGGTGGTTGTGTCTTTTCGGAATTTCCACCGATGGAAATTCAGAGGATTAAGAGGATTCGAGATTTGTGGGCGGTTTGTACGCCAGAGGGATGAACTTCAGTTCACGGAAATTGTCTTCGATAATTACTCCATTTTAATTGCAAAAATCTCGTCTCAATTACAAGAAAATACCTTTAAAATAATTATCATCATTGAATTTTTCCATTTTCTCTTGAATAATTTAACAGTTAATTACTATTGAATTATCATATTATTCTTGTATTAATTAATTAATTATAATTGTATTATTATGAATGCATGATCTTTTAATGAACATATTGTAATTATATTCTAAAATTAATAAAATTGATTATCATTATTATTGAATTATTATGATATTGAAATTACGTTCAATATTAGAATAATTATTAAATTTATCCCGAATGGTAAATTTCAACTGAATACCGATAAATTATCATAATTTTCTTAATCTTTTATTTTAAAACCATCTAGGTTTTTTCACTAGATTCATCACTAGATTATTTACTTAAAAATGATTCCGCCAGAAAATTTAAATAGCGTGGGGGTGGAAAATGGATTTATTCCTCTGTTTATTGTTTTACCCTAATTAACATCCGGAAATGACGAGGAATTTTTACAGTGGAAATGTCACGGTTAATGGGTCGACTTAGATTTTGGAGTGTGAACGATTCCTCTCGGAGGAAATTACTGATCCCTGATAACGAGAATGACGACACAAACCCCTAGGATCTTGAAAGGACTCAACGTCGAAGACGTCGAGCACTCGAATACGTCACAGGGATAAAAAGAAAATTGGAGAAGATGAAAAGTCTCCAGTGGTGATGTGTGGGCAATAAAGGGAAATTCTCGGGGGAACAATGGGAACTGTTTATCTAGGTACCTCCTAATGTACCTCATCAGAGGCATCAACTGTCTAGGGATGGCCTTTTGTTCTATCGTAGGGACATTTGCTATTATAGACACTTTATGTCGATCCAGAGTAAATCGAGAGACAATGTTAATGTTTATCTTCTGGTATCGATTCACGCGGGTATGGGACACATTTTATTTTCACTCGATCATGAAAATTGTTTTAGTTTATTTCAAATTCAAAATCTATTTAATCAAATAAATATATCATTTGTAGATTTTGATTTGATGTTTTATTATCGAGTCACTTCTTTACGCGACGCTTTTTATTTTCACTCGATTATGAAAATTATATTCAATTTCTAATTGAAAATCTATAAATTTATATGGAATTTTCATTTAATTTTCTCTCAATTAGTGGAAAATTAACGGAGAAAATGCGGTGTTCAAATATTTGGATTGGTACATTAAGAAAGTTATTTATTTTTAAATAACAAAAAGAAAATGAATTTCATTTGAACTTTTGAAAATCGAAAGAGAAATGCAAAATGTCATTTTATTCTTAACGAAATTGTTGTCCATTGAAATAATTTTATATTTTCAGTGAATCATTAATTGAATGATTTCTTCATTATTAAATAAATAATGAATTCTGAGTTATTCATGACAATTGACCCTGAAATTTTATTTAAACCGAACGAAAGTGTCATTTTCAAAAAGGAAAATTAAACAATCGATTGATTAATTAAAACTGAAAAAAATAAATTGCGAACGAAAAGAGGATTATACTGAAGGACAATTCACGGTGAATTATTCAGGAATTGTTGTATAAATATTTATCCATCGAAAAATCTCGGTGTGAGTTTTCCGAAGGATTTCAATGTGTTCTTGAGGAAGGGGAGGATGGGGTGAGGAATTCAAGAGAAATTCTCTAGAGGAATCGATTATTTTGGTTTATCTCGTTGGAAGTTGATGGCCAATAGTGAGAGAGGGATCGAGTGAAGAATTAATTAAATTCCTGGGAGTTGCAAAGTATTGAGGGGATAGTTTATAGCCATGAAATACTCTGTCTTAGAGAGAAAGCTATGGGGAAGATTTTATTCCTCGGAGAGCAGCAGATGCTTTGGTATTCGGTCTGAAAGACAGGCAACAGGTTTCAGGGAAAAAGTTTTTCGTGTCGATATTAAAAGCCCTATTCAACTGGTTGTCCCTTAAAAGTAGCCAAGTCTTAATTAAAAAGTATATTTATGAAGATCCCCGAGGGATCAATTACCCAGAAACCACACCGAGACTTTCAATAGCCTCAGCTATTTTTTTCTACATTTTTATTATCTATTTCCCTAAGCCCCTATTTTTTTTTCGATAATCATTGGAAAATAATTTATTAATTCATAACTTATTGGAATTGTTATTCAATGTATGACTCCATTAATTGGGATGCAGAAAGAATAACAGAGAAAATAATTAATAAATAACAAGAATTTTATAATTGAAAAGCGGATGTATGAAAAATTATTTCCATATTTTAATTAAATCGGTATGTGGAAAATAAAAAATTAACACATAAAAATATTGTGTAATTAAGAAATGGAAAAATTGTGCAATTGAAAATCCTCAGTGAAAATCTAAAATTGTATTTTTAATAAATTGGTTTACAATTAGAAGAATAGATATCGATTTTTGTTGATTAATTATTCTACTCATCTCGAAAATCGATGCCCGAAAGAAAAATCTCAGTAAAACCCCCAATTTCCTCCAATTTCCCATTTTTTTTTAATTTGCAAAATACAAAGTCGATCTCCCATTACAGTAATAACTTCCACAATTACTCTTCTAATTAAAAAATCAAAATCAGACTAAAAAATAAAATCGAAATGAATTTTTCCCAAGAATCTCTCCATCTTTTCTCCAAGAAAAGAGAGATTCTTGGGAAAAATCCATTTTGATTGTATTTTTCAGTCTGATTTTGATTTTTCATCCCAAAAATAAATGGACGAAGGAAAAATCCGACAAAAAATCCGAACGTCGCATTTTTTAAATTTCCAAAAAGAAAAATGCCATTACAGTAACGACTCCCACAATTACTCTCCCAATTAAAAAATCCGAATGAAAATGAAAATCGAATCAAAAGAGATTTCCTCCAATTAGTCCCGTGTAAAAGATTAGCAGAAATAAAAATCGGTCTCCCATCACAGTAACGAGTCCCACAATAACTATTCCAATAAAAAAATCTAAAAAATCTAAAAATCACTGGAATAGTAAAAAATGATGAATCACTCACCACAGGTATCTGCAGATGATCTCCAACAAGTGCAAGAACCACCAGTAGAAGACAACAGTTTCTTCCTTTATAATGCTCCATGTCTGGAAGCGCTGGTTGAGAAGAAAAATTATTCAAAACGGTAAATGGACTGGTAAATTCTAAAATGACTGGTTTGTTGGAAAATTCGAGACGAAAATCCACGGATTTTCCGTACGTGAGTAGCGGTTTGGGTGGCGTTTAACTCGCTTATATAGTCCGCGGGTCTCATATAACTTGAGAATTGCGCAGGCGTTTTTACGTTTTAGTGAGAAATTTGTACGTGTGTGATATCAGGATGATACCGCACTATCATAGAAATGAGGGATTGAGTATACAAACCCCCTATCCACCCCCTCACGGTTGTGTATTTTCCCCCGTTACCACCAGAATTTTGAGAGGATGAATAAGGCGAGAGATTTATTGCATTTTTTTTTCCATTTTTTGTGCATTTTTTTTTCTGGATTTTTCCTGGTTTATTGCTCAAAATGAAAAACCTCGACTTTTTCGCATATTCTATTTTTTATTTTGTTTTTCGTTTGGAAAAATAAACCCCCTCGATAGGGGAGGTAGGGGGGAGGGAAGAGGCTCCACTAAAAATTCAATTTTTTCACGTTTAATGCCAATTGTTTATTTAATTATATTTATATGGTATAATGTTATGTTACTTTTTGCTCTATTTATTCTATCTTTATTATATTTTTTGTATTCTTTGTTATTTAGGATAGTTTAATATTGATTTGTCAGTGTTATTTTTCAATTTCGCGTTTTTGTTTTTCAATCCTGGGGGCATCTGCACTGGAAAACTGAATTAATTTTTCTATAAACAACGATTCACGTTCAATTTTTCATAACTCTACATAAAATAAAATAAACCCCGATTATTTTGTATTTATAATTACTTTTCAGTTTTTCCTTCAATTTCTCTCAGATGCCACCGAAAACGTAAATCATAAAAAATCCTATTTGTTTTCCATTAATTCAAATCTAGAGAATTAATTTCTCTTCTAAAAAAATAAAAATGACAATTTGTAATAGTCCCGCAAAAAAATTAACCCTCCCTTTTTTTTAACGTTTGGTAAATTTAGAAATTCTTTTTTTATTGAAAAATTGAGTAATCGTTTGGTGGAATAAATTGTTGTATTAACCAACAATTTTACATTTAATTTTGAACAAGATGTGCGAGTTTGAATGGAAAAATTATAACGGGGGCAATAAATTAGGAATAATTCTAAAAATATCCAGAATAAATGATTGCAACTCAAGTATCTGCTCCCAAGGGTCGCAATGAGAAGAAATTAATCGCGGGGATGACGCAGAAGGAGTCGTATTCCGACACTGAGTTCTTTCGGGAATACGGGAATACGTTGCAAGTGTAATTGATCAGGTACAGGATGTGTTCCTGAGTGATCGAGGAACTGGGATCTCCCAGAAAAATGATACCGGTATCAGAATTTCGATATCGATGGAAATATTCACTCTCTAAAAATAACTTCGCACCCTCCACCCCATAACTCATTAAATTCCCCTTCCACCCCTTTAAAAGAACCAAAAACCCCTCAATTTCTCTACGTCATGAATAATTAATAAATTAAAAACCTCATTTATTTGTTCAAAAAATATTTCAAGTAATTATACCCATTCTTATTTCTTCAATTACTCATTAAAAAAATCTAAAAAACTATTTCAACCGATTTTTCACTTGAAGATCGATTCCTCTGCAATGGATAAATGAATTCTTCAAGTTTAAATCAATTAAATAATCACATTTAAAAAATATTGCAAGTAATTGACAATTCTGATTTCTTCAATTAGTCATTAAAAAATAAAAAAAAATTATTTCAACCGATTTGTCAGGTGGAATATGGATTCTCTAAAATAGATAATTTAATTCTTCAAGTTTAAATCAATTAAACAATTACATTTAAAAAATATTGCAAGTAATTGACAATTCTGATTTCTTCAATTACTCATTAAAAAATTCTAAAAAACGATTTCATGTAATTTTCCCTTTGAATGGCGATTTAAAAAGAAAAGGAGTTCCCCGAATTTAAATAGGGGAGATTCATGCAAAACGGGCATCGTGAAATTTTTATAGTTCTCCCGATTTTTTAATTTTTTCATTTCCAGATTTTATTTCCGTGGATCAAACAGGGAAATTTAAAAAAAACATTAAACAGGGAATTAAACGCTTACATGAATAATGGAGTACTATAGGACATAGATGTGGCTATATAAATCGCGCTTGGATAAATAAAAATCGAGCCACCACAGTTCCAATTTTTCAATTGAGAAATATATGTATGCACAATTACGAAATCTAATGAATATTCAAATGAATTTGGAGGGTGTCCATTTTGCCCCGACCCGTCCTACAAAATATTTTCATCGAAATTTTTTGTCCCTTCATGTGGTCATATTCCGAACGATTTAAAAATGCTGAAGCATATTTTCTCAAGAAAAATTGTTTTTTTTTTCTCAGGGTATCCGTTTTGCCACCGTCTAAATCCGTCCCCTAAATTAAACATCTAAAACTAGATGTTTCTCCTTAAATAATTGTTCACACAAAAAAACAACGTTTTCTAAATAAAAAATTTGAATTAAATTGGAATGGCGCATCACAATTTTCCAGAATCAAAACTCATCATTAAAAAATCTCCAAAATCGATCCCAACGGATTTCTTCTTCAATATCAATACCTTCCCCTCATAAATGACTTTTTCCAAGAAGCTGAGGATATTCCCTGAATTCAAAATAATTTAAAAAATCACTTGTAGCGCTGTGACGACATCCCCAGCGTCTGCGCAGTCCTGAGGATTTTTCCTACCCTCTCTGGAAGCCCAGGTCTCCCCTAGCCACGAAAATAACCCGAAACTCCATCCCCAAAAGCCATCCGAATTTCCTCCGATCATCCCCTCACACGTCCAGAGGATTATTCACGGTGATGGAGTTCAAGTGCGCAGTGATTACATGGTAATTGTCAATAAAATTGTTCCTCTGGAAATGCACAGGCGTGACAGACACGAGTGATGTACCCACCTGTGACGAAACTCAAAATCAATTCCTGGATTTTTCGTGACAGTACGTGGAAATTATTTGTCACTTCATGAGGACAAAATGCTCACCGAGATGGTCAGACTCTCCTATCAACATCGAGCATTTTACTGCTACATTATCCTCACCATTTGGATATTTCTCCTCGTTGCTGGTAATTATTATTCATTACCACCCCCGTATAATAATAATCCCCGTATTTGTTTATTATCTCACACTGGGTTTTATCCTATGTTCATTGTTATTATTCCCCAGGATATATCAGGATAAATATTCAAATAATTTTATCATTTTTCTAACCAGTTTTCAAATGATTATTTGTTATTTTTGTTTTTAATTTTTTGTATTTGAAGTTTACTGTTGAATTCACTGCATAAATAATTGTTTCAACTCCTGGGAGATTTATTTTTATTGATCTGTAATTAGTTTCTGAATAATCCTGAATATTGATGATTGTATGATTTTATTATTTTGTGATTCTTTCTGCAGAACTGAATTTTTAAATAATGTTTGTCGAATTTTGGGGTATTAATCTCTGGAAATGCCTCGATGTTCTAGGTATGTACAAGTACATAGGAACGGATGATAAGAGTTCATTGCAGATTAAACAAAGTAGTGATCTCCCAATTCGTGAGTTTGCTCGTCACCTCAAACCTGATGTCAAGAACAAGCGAATTTTCAAGTTGTGCAATTCCGTTGATGACATCAATATTGGAGCTGAAGGTAACTAATAAAATAATCAACTAAAATCCAATTCTCCACAATTTCAATTGAAGTAATTTCACTCTCTCACTCTTTCCCAATTTAAATAATTGCATAATATATTTAAAAAAAGGAAAAAGTGTAAAAATAGCAAAAACAGGAAAGCCTGGATTATTCGATAATTTCTGGCTTAATTGAAATAATTAAAATTTGATGAAATTAAAAAAATGAAAAACTGGAAAAAAATGAAAAACTGGAAAAAAAAGTAACTAGTCATTTAATTAATTGAGTTAATTTATACTATCAGGAAAAATTCCATAAAATTGTTGTTCGCAGGCAAAATAGACGCGAATTTGACCCTCGAAGGAGTGATAATTCTCATCAGACACGGAGACAGAGGTCCCTTATCACATATCAGAAATATTAGCACAGTGAACTGCGCCGGGGACTTCACCCTGAACCCACGACTGGAGACAGTCTACCAGAACTACCAGAATTTCCTGGAGAATGCATCAGTGTATTCTCGAACTGCATGGGCCCAATTCCTGGGTCCATTCCACGGGTTTCCAATGCTTCCAACGAACACGAGGGACTGCAAAATTGGAGAACTCACAACCCTGGGAATTGGCCAGCTCCTCAAGACTGGGTTGCTCCTCAGGAACGCCTACTACGACAAACTCAAGCTCCAGAACACCTCCATCACGTCCAAGGACGTCGTCGTGTACAGCACCAGATACAGGAGGACTGTGCAGAGTGCAGTGGCTATGCTGTACACTTTTCTGGAGGACAATGGCTTTCAGAATCTGGGGAGAATCAGCATGAAGGAAGTCTCCAGTTTCACTTTCTGCAATAGTGATTGCGCCTGTCCTGCTGCTGAGAAATTCTCCAAACAGTTCACTAAGGTGAGAAAATGCTTAAAATTACTCCATAACTAACAAAAATAATCCAAAATAATAATTAATCATTCATTCATTCATTAATTATTGACATTCATTCATTCATTAATTATTGAAACGATATATTGTTGTAGTATAAACAAGTGGACAATTCTAATATTTAATCTTTTCATGGCGGTACTGTTGTTAATTGAACTGTTTGGAGAATTTATCATTAATTTTCAATCAGCAATTAATCATTGTTCATCTCAGATCTAATGAAGATTTACAGAATTCAAGGTACTCGAAGTTAATATGTATTGCAGTATTTCTGTCTTCAACTCTGGGTATTGATTTGGAGATATTTATGTACCGCTTTGCCCACTATTTCTCGAAATAGCTGCACGTCGAAAACACTCACCTTTTGTCCTGTCCATTCCACTTCCCTCATCGCCTCTCCTCATCCCTTTTCTTTCATTTTTTCCCCCAGAAATGCAAACGAATTCTCTGAATTCCTCAAAAATCGTGATAATAGATAATTCTTGAAAAACCCAAGATTTTCATAAATTTTCCATAACGACCACAAAATCTCCTCATTTGTAAACAAATCCGAGAATTATCCTGAAAATAAAAACTCAACATTTTGTTTTCTCTGTATAAGACCAAAAAAGGTTCTTGTGAAACAAAAAAATGTTTGTTTCTTCTATAAAAAACCACTTCTCCTTACAGGAGACGTCAGATCGTTTGAAATCGCACCCAGCGGTGACGAGCTTGATAAAACAGGCGGCAAATGTGGTATTCGATATGCCCGAGGAGTCGCCAAAGCCAAACAGCCTGAGAGACGCCCTGTTGACGTACATCTGTCACGGGGCGAGTCTGCCCTGCGTCGACTTCGACAACCTCCAGAGGAGTTGCGTCAAGACGGAGCACGTGACGGGCCTCTTCGCGTACACGGAGTGGGAATCCCGGATAAACATGAAGAGCCTCAACAGGAGGAAGCACGGCCTCCTGCGGGCCTACGGTCTCCTCAAGACCATCGTCTCCCATATGATGCAGATTGTTTCAGAATCTAGACCCCGGGTGGTTCTCTTCTCGGCCCACGACAAAACCCTGGAGTATCTGGCGATTGCCCTGGGGATCGTCTCCGATCACGTTGTTCTGCCCCATTATGCCACGAGGTTCGTTATCGAGATCTGCAGGGCCAACCCCAGGAGTGAAAGCCACAACCCCAACGACTTCTACTTCCGGTATTCCAAATTTATAACTCCAACCATTTTTTTATTCATCGATGATTACTGTGGTACGGTGAATTGACAAAAGTACTAAACGATCTTAATAAATTTTAATAAGGGTGCTCGTCAACGGCCGTGACGTCACACAGACCATCCCCTTCTGCAGGAACTCCAATTATTACAGTGCTAGCTATGGGGATCGAAATGAGGATGGCGAATGGTACAGGAAGGAGTACAAACTCTGCTCCATCGAGTCAATCATCAGACAACTGCACGACGACTACTTCGCCGCTTTCAACGCCAGTAATTTTAAGGACGCCTGCTTCGGACGCTGACGGGGACCACCAACACTGCCTCTTCATCACGATTTATACGTTTTTTTAGGGTGCGAGAATATCCGAGAATATCCGAGAAACCTTCACTGACATCCTCCAGACATCTTTATCTCCGATTTATTTAATTTTTTTAATACTTCCTCTTATCACTGCATGACTGCAATTGTTTAAATTCTGGAAGTCTAATCAATAGTTTATAAATTATTATAAACTATTGATTTCCACGTCCTTCAGAATGGAAAGATTACTCCATAAGTAATAACAATAATTCAAGATAATAATCAATCATTGATTTGTATTACTTTTATCTGGAAAGTGTATTAACTATTGATGTTTCTTTTTATTCATTGTGAAGTTTTAAGTTTAAATTGTGGAAGACGTGGAAACCAATAGCTTATAAATTATTTAGAAATCACTGGGACATTTTTAATTCACTCCGACGAACAAATAATTCGATGGAATAGACATTCATTTTTTAATTGAAAATTGTCTCTTCAATTAAGAAATTCAGGATAATATCACAGAATTTTTTCCTAGAGCTTAAATTCCCAAAAATGCAGATTTTCCTGTAAATCACTCATTACGGAGACAACTGCGTTGTTACAATGAAAAAGGGCTTCGTTTAATTATATAAATTCCGTTATCACTCGTCGTCACTCTTGCCTGCAAATCCCTCGCAGACATATATTTTCTAGAAACCTCAGATAAACTATTTCTACATGTAAATATGTAAATACTCCACTAAAAATGTTAATTATTTTCAAGAGTATAAATGACAGTGAATTCGTTAATTTCTGATTCTCTAACTAGACAATAGAACGTACAAATAATTGTTTTAGATCTAGAAATGCCCGAGGCATTCTTTCTACCGTAGAAAATCCATAAAACTAATCAACGAGAATTGTCAATAGAAAAACTCCGTCACAAAAATCAACGAAATAGCCATGATAAAGTACACAAGTCTTCTCAAGAACTCCATTTTATTCAATAAGGTAACATTTCATTTCTATTCACAGTTGTAAAAAAGAACACGACGTAATAAATACTGGACAATTACCATCAAAAGGCACTGGTTTTCCAAAAAAATCTAAATCAATTAATCCTGTTCTGTATCCAAAATTCGTGGCATGCTCCACACAAATTGAAAAAAAAAAACCTTTGGTGCGATTATTCTTGTGCAGATCTCACAGATGCATCTCACAAATTTCTAAAAATATTTTCTACGAATTACCAATAAAAAATTGAGTGAAAAAAAATTCTTAAGACTCCTTACATCTAATCCTAGTTTATACAAAGAGTATTCAGTAGTATTAAAAATATTTGGTCCTCTGCTGAGTGGGAGGTGCCCTAATACTGCAGCAAAGAGATGAAACGATCAAATAATTCGTCATTACCTCGATAACGAGGGGTTTTCAACAAAAAATTTCACAATTTTTCCTTTCATTACCCAAAACTGTTCTTTCCCATAAAAACATACCAATTTTACACAATTAATTTTGTTGATTGAATCAGTAAAACTAAATATAGAAATTGAAGTAAATTTAGAACCTCTCGTGATCGAGTCAATGGAAATTCAACAAACGAGAGAAAATCCCTGAATTCGTATCACTCTCAACATAAATCCGCTGGTTCCCTTTTGTTTCCAGCCATAGCGAGCCCGAATGTCTCCTGCACCTGAGAAATCCTCTCCAAGAAATGTTCATAATTAAGAGCACCATTGGCCCTCTTCTCCCTGACAGGAGGGGAATGCTCAACGCCCCTCTGAATTCCCAAAAAGCTTCTGTCAGCCTCCACGACAAATCCCCCTGCATGCCTCCTAATCCCCTGCCTCCACCTGCTGACTAGCCATTTCATTCTGAGAACCGAGACAACCGTCATCACAGCTGACTTGAACCTGACCTTTCCCCGGCTCTCAAAAACTGAATAACACCTCTCCGTGTTTGTGAGTTTAGCAAGAACAGATAGAGTATTCTCCTCAGACACCTGGTATCCACCAATGACACACAGTAAATACCTCTTCTGAAAAGCCAGAGCCTTCCTCTTGCTGTCTACCCTGATATACTTCCCATAGAGTCTCTGAAATTTGCTGGACATCTCGGACTCATCGACTCTCTGTCCAAGAATCTCGAGTTCCCTGATTCTTGCCTCAAGTCTCTCCCTCTCCACTCTCTCAGCAATGAGTTTCTCATGGAGAATGCTCTTCTCATCAGCATACCTCTCCAGCTTCCCACATAACTCACTAATACTCTGGACAAACTGTCCCTCCACTCCTCGAGGGGCGTTGTACTCCCTCTCACCCCTCACCTGCCCCCTGAGCTCATCAATAATCCCCTGGAGTTTCTCCTCTTTGGCCTTGGCCTCATTGAATCGCTTACCCATCTCCTCCTCACTCTTCCTCAGGGCAGCAACGACTTGCGTCAACTGTGCCCTCTCAGCCAAAGAGGCCCTCAACTGTTGACTCATCTGATCAGTATCAATTTGCCAATCATGCATTACCTCCCTGACATTCTTGATCTCCTGTCGAAGACTCTTGAGCTCATTGTCCTGGTCGCTCTTCTGCTGCTGCCTCTTCTCCTCAGCCTCAGTCAATCCCTTGATTTTCTTCTGGAGCCACTCAATCTCCTCATCTCGAGTTTTAATCGTTGTCTTAAGGCGCCTCTGAATTATCTCCAGGTGATCCTTGTCACCCTCGACTATCATAAGATTACTCAACAGCTTCTCAGTCTCCTCGATTGCAATTTCCAGGTCCTTCTTGTATTTATTGCGCTCTGATTCCATCGTCTGGAGGCTGGTCTTCAGGTCTTCGATCTCACGCTCCAGATCTGACAGCTTATCTGGGACCTCTGGCGTTGGGATATCTATCTCTGGTGGAGGTCCACCAGCTTTGGACTCAATCTGACATTTGAGAGCAGTTAACTGAGAGGTAAGCTGTTTGTTTTTCTCCTTGAGGCTCAAGTTATTGTCCCTCAGGTGCTGTTCAGTATTGATGGACGCTGTTAACTTAATTCTCAGCATTTCTATCATGTTGGAGTCTTCCATCTGGGAGTTCTGATGGGCTGTCTTCTCTTTTTTCACTTGGACCTCGAGATTTCTCACCGCGGCCTTCTTAGAGGACAACTCCTCGGACAGATTAGTATTTCTCTTGCATTCTCTCTCGTAATCTGATTTCAACTGGAGAATTCTGGACTCGTATTCTGATATCTGGCCCTTCATCATTTCCCTCTCGATCTCCAGTTCGTTCCTCTGGTGGGACAGCTCGGTGTTCAATTTAGTCTGGGTTTTTAATTTGTTCTTTATATCGAGGTACTGCTCCATGATCTTCTCGAGATCTTGCTCGACTGGTTTTATCGTCAAAGAGTTGCAGGCGTGAAGCTCCATCTTCCTCTGAGAGAAATCCTCGGACTCTGACTCGATGGCGTCCATTATTTTTCTGTCGAGATCGGCTGAGAGGTTGAGCTCTCTCTGGACCATATCCTCGAGATCCTCAGGGTGTCGATCCTCTTTGAATACCTCAAGCTCCTTCGACAGTTTCGTAACCATCTTCGTGAGCTCTCCATTATAGTTCTTCTCGATCTGAAGCTTCTTCCTGAGTTCTACCACATTTCCAGGCTCCTTCATCTTCCTGTGAACTGTTTCCAACTCTCTGTGGAGGCTCTTGCTATCATCAGTCATCTGCTGGATAAGTTTGTCCTTCTCCTTGACAAGATCTTTGAGATGATGAATCTCTTGGTCCCTGTTCTCCTTCGGTGAGACACTCGATCTCCTCGCTATGTCCTCCAGCCTCTGGATCACCAGGTCTCGACTGTTTAACCCATCACTCAACCTCTTCATCTCATTCTGGTGGTCCAGCAACTCCTTCCTCACCACCTCGAACTTCGTTTTGTACTCGTAAAGCTGTTTGTTTTCCTCCTCGATCTCCATATTCCTAGTCGTCACAGTCTCAATGGTAATATCCTTCTCGAAGATTATTTGAGTTAAATTCCTCAGTTCCTCCAGTTTCTCCGACAGCTTCTGCTCGCAATTCCCCACACTCTCTTCTAGCCTCGATATTTCCTCCTTCAGTCTCACAGTTTCTTCCTTCGACTCTGTCAAAATCCTTTCGTTCATCTGAATCTTCTCCTGGTAGATCTCAATCTCCTCAGCCCTCACTTTCAGATAACTCTCAACCTCATCCAGATCACGCCTTATTTTCCTTTCGGACTCCTGTGACAGCTCGTACTGGCTTTTGTAGAAATCCTTGTCTCTGGTGAGATTTTCTATCGAATCTTTGGACTCAGCCCTCAACTCGTCCAGACTTTTCTTCAACTCATTCAACTCCATCTCCCGTTTATTGAGAGTCGATGACTTCGATTTGAGCTCCTCGTATATCTCCTTGAGCTTCTCCTCGAGCTCCTGAATGACTTTCCCACCAGGAGGAGAGAGTTTTGATATTTTAGAGACTGAATTGAAAGATCTGCCATCCTCAGAAGCAGCTGGTGACTTCAAGTCAAGACCACTCATCATAGAATCGATATTGGATCTTCGATGGACTGGAGTGGTATTGGGAGAAGGCCCCAGCTCGAGGGGAGGTATCACCAGCTCAGACTTCTGGAGCTCCTCCTGATTTCCCTCTCGTCTGAATGACGAGAGGTTCGGATGGAAATTAATATTCGTGGTGTCTCTGATGGCCTCTGACATCTCCTCGGCCTCAGAGTGAATCGAGAGAATATCACTCAATGTTCTCGCCGAATTCTTTGGCTCGATCCTCTGCTCCTCTAGATTGGAGCTGAGTGCTTCCAGCTGCTTCTCTTTTTTCGACAGCTGATCCTTGAGATGATCGATCTCCTCGTTTTTGTCAGCCAGCATCGAGTCGATGAGCTGTGGCAACTCCTGCTGCGCTCGTTCCTGAGTTGAAACCTTGGACTCCAGCACCTGTTTCTCATGCTGGAGTATATCGAGCTGCTCCTTCAGGCCAATAATCTCGTTGTCCTCACGTTGAAGAAATTTACTGAGCTCCTCCTCTTTCTCCTTCAGCAGAAGATTGCCACGCTCCAGCTGACCCCTCATATCCCTCAACTCCAGATCTTTATCAGAGAGTTTTTGCTCAAGTGTCTGAATCCTGGTGTTGAGCTCGTGGAGCTCGAGCTCCAGACGAGACGTCGCCTGACGCTGAGCAAACGGAGCTGACTGTTTGTACTGTTCCAGCCGTCCCCTCATCTGCTCAATCTGAAAGAGTTGATCTGACGTTGTCTGCTGGAGTATGTCCCTCTCCTCCTGGAGCTCCTCGTTCTGAATTTTCAGGGCTGACAGCTGCATATCAAGATCCTTTATCTTTTTAAATGCCACCTCCTCCGTTCTCGAGTGCTTCAACAGCTTCTCCTTCAGCTTCAGCAGAAGATCCAGTGGTAGAGTAGGAGGGGAAGTCGTGTCCTCGGGTGTCGGACACCTGGTGGCGTCGATCTGGTCACGAATTGAGACGTCCTCTGAGGGCTGGCTTATGCTCAAACTTGAACCTGTCGTATGCAACCCCTCCAGCTCTTTTATTCGTTTGTCCAGGTGATTCTGCATCTCTCGCAGCTCTGACTTCATCTGCTTCAGGGCTGCCGAATTCACGGTGAAGTGCTCGCTGCTCATTTGATGGCGTTGCAGTTCACTCTGCAGATGGGAGATGTGAGAGTCTGACTTCAACTGGTCCAGCTCGTCCACCAGCTCCTGGTGGCTGTGACTCTGGGATGATATCACTTCCTTCAGGTGAGAGATCTGAGACAGCAGCAACTCCTCCTGATCTGATTTCCCCTGGATCTGCTGCTCCAGGTCGACGATTATATCTCGAAGGATCCAGATCTTGTCCACTGCTGCCTTCAACTCGGATTCAGTTTCCGATTTCTTCAGCTCTGTGTCCGAGATTTGCGACGTCATCTCACGCATCTGCTGCTCCAACGCCTCCACCTGGGGCAGGGGTGCAGGTTAGATGAGGGGATTAATAAGCGGATACCCCCCGTCAAAAATACATTTGAATATATTTTTAAAATCGAATTGAATATTATTTAAATATATTAAAATCATAACTGTTAATTTTGATAGAATTATTTTTTGGGAAGAAATTAGTTTTTCATGAATTATTTATGAAAAAGGCAGAATACTGATGAATGTGAAAGACTTTTTATTTTTCAGGTAGAAAAAAAAATTAGTAAATGGGAGAAACTATTGGATTAAATACCAAAAATGTTGATATTCAAGTTAAATAAAAAATAGCACTCACGGTTTCTTTGTAGTCAAGATGAACCTTCGAAGAACCCAGCGATGAATCGGGTGTGGGTGAAGGCGACTTTATTTAAACGTGTTTTATGTGTATGATAAAACCAAGCCCACAAAAGTGCAGAAAAAAACACCAGTGTTAATTAAAAAATCCATTGAATTTGAATAGTGAAGGCGTGTTACAATGTGAATTGCATTAATTGAGCCCTTGAGATTTCAAGTGAAGACCAGAAATAAAATGTTAGATAAAAAAAAATCCACTTTTGCTGAAAAATAGCTCCACAAGTGATTGAGAATGAAAGATCAGAGTGGCCTATTAATTTCGATGAGTTTACCTCAGAGGAAATACGAAGATCTCGTTCTTTATCACGTTCTCGTTCCTTCAACTGCTCGTGAAGGGATTTTATCTGCTTTGCAGCCTCATCCCTCTCGATTTCCCTCTCACTCGCCTGTTCCTCCAGGAATTTCCGAGTGCTCTTGAGCTGTTTGTCAGCTGCATCGATCTAAATCCATCATTGATGAACAATTAGCAGAAAATTCCTCAAAGGAATTAAAAATTCTGCCCTAATACATCAATAGAATGCAGAATTTTTATTCCATAAATTCGATTAGAGTTATAAACCGCAAAATCATGCATAAGCCACAAAATAAATTAAATATCAATCGAAAAATCATCAAAGAAAATCCTAGTCTCCGAGGTACAAACCAAAGATGAGTAAATGATAGGATGGAAAATACTGGAAGTGGAGAAATTCAATAACGAAGTGGTAAACTAAGATATTTCTAATTTTACTTTGATAAAATACCGGTTAGTCCAAGAACTATCGATTTAAGGAGAAAACGTGAAAAGAACTTTTTTCTGGGAAATTTAAAGAACTATGGAGCAGTCCTCTGACGTTTTCACCGCAAATGGATGGATTCAGAGATAAATCGATCGTTAAAAAAACAAACTCCATCTTATCTCACTTTATTTCCTCGTTATTGAATTGAATTAGCACTAGGATTTCCTGTGAATAAAATCAAATTAGGTGGAATAATTTACCTTGTGTCTCACCCTGTGTATGCTTTGGGAGGGAAGGGGATCTAATGACACCTGCTGGCAATTACAATACGTCAAAAATCCCAAAAAAAGACAATAATCAAGCACTTTGGATAATGAACGTTGGAATGACTATGGAAACCACTCTAAAGTAGCTCATCCCAGTTTAATTCATGTGTTCAATGTTCATGCAGTGCAAAACGTTCAATCAATCGTGTCTCGATCGTGTTTTACTCATTACCTGCTGTTGCAGATCCTCTCTCTCACGTTTAGAGTCTTCCAGAATTTTTTCTGTGCACCTGCAGAGCTCCTCGATTAGTTGGAGATGCTGGGCTGGATCTGCAGCTGCATTTACTGTTGCCAGACGTGCTGCAATGATTGTCCATAAAAATAATTATTCATTCTTATCTAATCAAGATTTTTTATAATAATTTATTTTAAACCGATTTGGGAGACTATCTCCTCACCTTTCTCCAACAACAACGAGAAGTCCTGAACGACAACTTCGCCGCCACTCTCGTCCTGCTCGCCATATCCCTCGGAGATGATCTCCTTGGCGGCCTCGGTAGCCGATATCTTCTGTTGGAGATCAATAATTTTAATCTTGAGCTGCTGGTTCTCCTCCTGATAATCTTCGAGGATGCCCTCGGCCTCCGAGAGCTTAGCACTGAGCTCTTCATTAACTTTTGTCGTCCAAAGAACCTGTTTGGAGAGAGCGTCGAGGGTGCTCTCCCCAGGAGTCAAAGATGGAGAAATAATTTCAGCACTCTCAGCCCTCAATCGCTCCAAGCACTTGCCCAACTCATCCCTGAGTTTCTCCCCTATGTCCTCCTCCTCCGCGATGAGGTCCAGGAGGCAGTCTGTCTCCGAATTCACTATCGAGGATATCTCTCGTGACTGGGGAGCAAAATGCACCCTCTTGACAATTTTCTTCGCAGGAACTTCCACTGTCTGGTCTTTCTCAGTCTCATTACTGGAGATCTGCTCAGATATGACCTTTTGTTTTATTATTTCCGTTATGAAGGTGTTGTTGAGCTCCTCCTCGCAGGTCACTGTGTACTTGACGAGATCTACGACGAGACCCTTCAGGATCATGCAGATCTTCTGGAGACTCTCGTATCTCTCTATTATTACGTCATCTGGGGCATCAAACTGATGATTCTGTCTCCCCTGCGTCAATACATTCAGTTGAGACTCGTAGCTCTCCAGGGCCTTTGAGTAGTCTTCTTTCAGGCGTGTCATCTCCTCCTCATGAGATTCCTTCAGCTTCTCCATTTCTCTTCTGGCATTCATTGTGAATTTATTTCTTAGCTGCAACAGCTCTGGGGGCCAGTTATCCTCGGTGTCACCTTCTACAGCCAAGAGTACCTGGAGAAATCATTTTAGGAATTACGAGAGAATTTAAGGATTGGTGGAAAATTCAAGTGCGCGTATTTTAAAGATTCTGGAAACCCCTTGAAAATGATACTTAATTTAGGAAAATTCATTGCTGAAGAATCAACAATCACAATAAAAGAATTAGTACGCAAAGAGAGTGAAAGACCGAGACAATTAGCAGGCAGACATAACAAACTACCTGTATCTGTTCCTGTAGAGCGTTGACAATGTCACACCTAGCCAGAGCAATCTGCTCCTCAAGCTGTACACTGTAAGCTGCCCTTAGCTCACTCAACTCGCTATTTTCCACTGGCTCCAGCTCGGTCTGACAATGCTGCATGCCCAACGAGTAATTCAACGAATTCAATTTGTTAATCACAAGAGGAGATATTAGTTGACATTAACAATTATTAGACAATCAAACATGCAAAGCTACAACTTCATCGAAACAATAAAAAAAAGCACCTGTTCATTGGTACCCCTGGCTCTCGTTTCACTTCTCCCCTTACTCTCCTCCTCGAGTACCTCCCTGCCTCCCTCCCTGAACCTGCCAGCATCGCCAGCTCCCCCAAAGTACAGATCATCAGTCATGTCCTCAACCTCAGAGCTGTCATCACTCATTTTTTTGGACTGACTGAAGACTTCCTCGGAGTACTGTTTCTCCACGTGCAGGACCTTCTCCTCGAAGTAGGTTCTGAGCTCCTCCATCTCTAGTGCATGCCTCCTCTCGAGGTCCTCTTTGAACTTCTCAACTCCATTATCTCCAAACAATTTCTTGAGAACATCGATTTCCTCGAGGTGCTGCTGCTTGAGCCGCTGAATCTGCCCTACGAGACCCTCCTTCTCCTTCTCGACCTCTTCGAGGGACGTCTTCAAGCCTTCTGCCTCGCCCTTCAGCTGGTGATTCTCTTCGGTGAGCCTCTCACACTCTTCCAGAAGATTCTCAAACCGATTGAAAGCAGAATTAATTCCTCCCACAAGACTAGACGCAATGGCTTCAGGCCTTGTGCAATTCAAGGTCTCCTCCCCTCTGATGCTGTCCACGAAGTCTCCCCTGGACTCATTAACGAGTGATTCATTGATCCTGATCTCCCTCTCAGCGCACTGATTCCAGGCAGTCTGGAGTCCCCCCATGAGCTGCTTGCAGTCCTCCTGGAGCTGTTGCACTTCAATCTTGAGATTCCCAATGGCCCTGTCCCTCTCCCCCAGGGCTCCATCCTTCCTCCTGATAGTTTCCCTCAACTCCTCTAGCTCCCTCTCCATCCCCTTGATTCTACTCAAAGAATTATCTGAATTATCTAAAATCATCTTATCATAGTTATTCTTCAAGTCCTTCAACTGCTTCTCATAATTATTCTTCTGAAGATTAACGTCCTCCAGCTCCCTGGAAGTCTTGATCACAGTGTCCTCGAGGTGTTTTATCTTACTGGTTAACTTTCTCTCGAGCTCCTCCTTCTCCTCGAGCTTCTGTTTAGAAAGCTGCACCTGCAGAGCCAGATCGTCGAATGTTTGATAAGTCGTCTCATTGAACTCGCTGAAGAGGCTGTTGCTTATTCCTGAAATCCGTCCAAGAGATCTCTCCAATTCGTAAATCCTCGAGCTCATGGACCTTTCGTGGACCTGGTTATTTTCGATGAGGGACTGGGCAGCTGAGTATTTCGCTGTCAAATCGTCGTACCTCAGCTTGAGGTTTTCATTCTCCTGCGTCAGTTGGGCAACGTTGGTGAGAGCCTCCTCCAGAGACTTCTCGATACTCTCTTTCGAGTCGAAGACACTCGTTGCAGCCAGGTACTTAGTTGTGAGCTCCTCCACTTGGATTTTGTGTAGCTTTATCTGCTCGACGAGGAGTTCCCTCTCATGCTCGGCATTGACTAATTGATTTTTCAGGATTGTGACGTCCCGGTCGCCCTCAGGAGAACCCTGGGCCTTCAGTACATCGATGGTCTTCCTGCAGGTGGCCAACTGACTATGAAAAACACTCAGCTCCTTCGCGTGCTTCGTCTCCAGCGCCAGAAGCTCCTGATTGAAATTATTTTTCAACCCCTTGCACTCCTCCTCGTGATTCTCCTGCAATTTAATCAGCTCCTGACGATGGGACTCCGCATTAAGTCTCGTTTCAGCAGCAAATTTATCCAGGATCTTCTCCATGTCCTTTTTTATTTTGGATATCTGGGTATCGTAGAGTTCCTTTATTTGCTCACGTTCCTCCAGGCTAGAGGATCTCTCCTGCTCTAGGGATGCTATCTTCTGGTGGAGATCAGTGATTTGGCACTTGTGGCTTTTTATTTCCTCAGTTTTTTCGTCCTCCAAGGCTTGGAGTTTTGTATGCAGCTGCTTTATCGTCTCCGAGAGGATCTGACAATCCTCGGGCTTCTCTGGATCACTCTGATCCTTCGTGGGGGCATTGAGGATTGGGAGAGAATTCAGGAATTGTACCTGGTCCTTCAGGGCGTCACGAGAGGCTAGGGCTTGCTCCAGGGAGGAGGTCAGCTCTGTTAGCAAATTGTCTCGCTGGGCCACTGCCTGCTCAAAGTCCTGGAGCTTGTGCTGATAGCTCGCCACCAGATCTCGATAGTGCGTACTGTTTTGACTCTGGGAAGAGTGCGGGGAACAGGCCTCACCTCTTATATGATCAATCTCTGCACTCAGAGACTCGATTATCGCTTCTTTTCCTTGGAGAAGCTCCTTCAGCTCAGCGACCCGACCTGCCATGTTCTCGATGTCACCCTCACCCTCGCCCTCAGATACACTCATGCTACTCTGGGTAGTGTCTCGTAGGGAGGCATCCTCCAACATCTAAGGGGAATCAAAAAACCTTTTGGATCATTTGGTTAAATTCTGAGAAAAGGAATTGAAAGGATATTTAATTAAAGTATTTACATCGATTGCTTTAATTAAATCAATCAATTGGGCGACTTAATTAGTTTGCTCTATCCGATTTTTTTATTTAATCTAAACGTCTAAACGTCGCGTATCGTCGTCATTAAAAATGGGGAAATCTAATTCGACCATTGACAATAAATTATTCGAGTATGGATACAAATTATTGATAATTACGGAGAATTTCAAATCGTTAAAAGAATTTTGAAAAAATAATATGTTCTCTAAAACAAAAACCCAAAACTTGTACCCCAATTTTATGTGTTGTATTTTGATTGATCATTCTTAATGATATTTCCTCTAGTTGTGGGGATTTATTAGTCTCCAAGTACTGCTAGTTCAGAGAAATGAGAGATAAATCGTCCATTCAAAATAAAAACAAAAACTCACACTAGAATTCTGGGTGTCAATAGTCTCATTGTGTCCGAGCAGCTCTTCAACATCAGAGGGATCATTTTGATTCTCCATACGTTCTTGTGAAGCCTTGTACCTAGCCAACTGGGAAAAACAGAAGATTAATATTTCCAGAGGGTCTTATTTTCATCTTAACCCGAGAAGGTCATTCCTACTGCGTGAAAATAAAATGATTAGAGTGGAAAACAATGAGGCATTTGGGAATCTGAAGAGAATGTCCTTCATTTCCCTTCGAAACAAGCCGAAATTTCTGAGGCTAATGAATTTTGTTGTTAAAGTTTTGGGTGAAAAAAAAAACAAATGTATAAACATGGTCTGCACGCAGGTCTCGACGGTTTAAAATTAACGAGATGTGAGTTTTTAAGGTCTTGGGGTTATTCTCGATATTTTACTCACTATTTCACGTCCAGCCTCGAGTGAACGCCTCTTCGAGGCTCGTCGCTCGTCCCCGTCCATTTATGTCACAGAAATAAAACAATTTGGGCAATTAGTCGTCGGCATTTGAACAAATCTTGGCTTTTGACCGTTGGTTTCCTTCTCTCACACACGTATGATGGACATGATTTCGAAGGAAATAGACCTGAATGCAGACCCTAATCCAGGAGCTGCCTCGTACCGTTTAATATCAACTCCACGGAAAAGAGGGCGTGACGATAACTTCTTTAAATAATTCCACGCCAAAAATCAATAATCGAAAATAATCAACGTCTTCGAGTTTTCGTACAATTTTTTTATCATAATGTTCTGTATAATAAGATGAAGTCACAATCAAATTTTCAGCAAAAAAAAGATTTTTTAATAGGTTATCTTTTTTTTTAACTCTGCCCTTCGTTATTGATAAAAAAACAGTTGATATCAGGCATTCTTAATATTTAAAATCTTCTTTAAAAAAAATATACAAGACACGGTAGTTGTAAGAATTATTTATTTGGCATCTGCAAGATCAATTTAACGATACTTTGTTTTTTATCCTTAGATGAAAATATTGAGTATTCAAAAAACTTAAGGAAGTCAAATGAAGTCATGATGAATGAGAGTAGGAAGAATTCTGGACTATCTACTAATTAATATTCTTGAGAAGCTTTTTCATTCTTTCCAGTGCCAGTGGTGCCAGTTTTCTTGGGGAGGAGGACAGCCTGGATGTTGGGGAGAACTCCACCTTGGGCGATTGTTACTCCAGACAGCAGTTTATTCAACTCTTCGTCATTGCGAATTGCGAGTTGAAGATGACGAGGAATTATCCTACAAAAACAACACGTATTTATTATCAATCCTAATAAAATTTTCTCCACCTATATATAATAATAATAATAATAAGTTTACGGACCTGCGCTGATATAAAATAATGAAAACAAAATTCGTAACATCAACGGAGGTATCGAGCCAATAATTCCCGAAAATCAAACACTACCTTATTTCTCGACCTTGGATATAAATCAGAATAATGGAAAGGGATTAGAGCCTGGGAATAACGGACACTGCTTTCCCGCCTATTTACCTCGTCTTCTTGTTGTCCCTGGCAGCATTTCCAGCCAATTCCAGGACTTCAGCAGCTAAATATTCCATCACAGCAGCAAGATAAACTGGGGCACCAGCTCCGACACGTTCTGCATAATTTCCCTTTCTCAGAAGACGATGAATTCTTCCAACAGGAAATTGCAGGCCAGCCCTGCTACTCTTTGTCTTTGACTTTGTCTTGGCTTTTCCTGAGGGCAGAAAAAAATTCAACGCCTTGATTCCCCCGTTCTGGTGATTGTTAATTAAATAAAAAACGGGTCTCACCTCCTTTTCCTCGTCCAGACATTTTTTAACAGTGATTACCGTGTAAAATGGGCGAAAATTAGAATAATTGGAGAGAGCGTTGGGACAAACTGATGATACCTGAGGCGTTTGCTAGCGAAGTGAGGATGTGAGGTTCAAACGACTTGCATGTGTCGCACTTTTCAACCATTGGGAATGAAAAATGGCGGGAAGTGTCACAGAGTGATGAACTACAACGATTTGACAGAGAATCGTGGCCACCTACTGGGATTTACCGACAATCCAGCAACTTGAAGGAAAAACGAGTGCATTCTTTCGCGATTATCTCCATAATACTCGGTTGCAGAGGAAAATTGTATGAAACTTATTTGTAGAGAGGAAAATTCCTGACGAAAAAGTCTAATGACGATTTTTCATGTAACCATTTGGTGAGGAGATAATTGCGGAGAAT